TATTTACTAAATTTTTTTTACATGGAGATGTAACACATCATACGACACAAATAAAATTTCTTATTAATACAAAATCCCATCAAGCGAATTTTGTGTTAGTAATTTTGTGTTAGTTTTAGGTCATCAATGTCCGGGTAATTTTTAAAATCTTATGTTTAGATTTATATTTGTAATTATTAGTTACATGTATTTATTTAGGATATTTAACAATAATTTGTTCATGTAATGGCATACGATTAGATGTTGTATACTTAATATATGGATGGCTTTGGTTAATTTTGGATATGATGAAAAAATTCCAATGCATAGTTTTGATTTTATATCGCAACAATTTTTCATTTATTGGTAAATATATTGATTTATTTTATATAAATGTAAGGATTTAATTTATATCATTTCAATTTGGCTAACATTTCACGGTTCAATTTATCCATTAATGTAGTAGGTTGGTTGCAGACGAGGTTGGTGATTCTATCGAAATAAAAGATATGGTAAAACAATGAATAATGATTTAGGATTTAAATTATTAAAAATTTATCATTTCACATTAAAGATTTTGTATAACAGCAAAAATTTCATATATATTTACAATTTATTTAAATTTAATAAATTCATTATAAATTATAGTAAAAAATAAAAAAATATTAAACTTTTATAATTTTGTCTGAAATTATTAAATACAATAAATCAAATAATTAAAAATCTTAGATGAAAAAACCGTGCATCGCACGGGCTTCCATCTAGTCTATACTATATATTAAAAGGCGTTCATTTCAAAGGAACTGTGCCACGTGGCACTCTTCAAAGTATTTGGACAATGGCATGTCAATACCTTAAGGTTTATGCGCCACATAAGTTTGCCACTTCATTTAACAAAATAAATTGTGCTTTGAGCAAGAATCAAACCCTTAACCTCCAAAATACAAAGGTCATACATTTTCCATCTCAACCAACTTTGATTAACGTCTTAAATTTCACATAATTAATATTATATATTCCTTTAATATATTAAGTAAATTAGAGGTTATATTTTTTTATTTATATTTCACAAGATTAGAAAACAAATACATATGAGGTAAAAAAAAATAAAAATAAAAAAATAACACCCGAGACAACGCCCGAACCACACAATAACTATACAAACAGTAGAACATAATTATCAAATTAAAAAAAAAAAAAAAAAAAAACAAACTAGCTGGAACATCGCCCGAGCCACACACTACTTTTTAATAATAAAGAGGATAACTCTTCTACGTATGCATAAAGATTTATGATACCTTGAAGGCTTTTAATACTAGTCTAGCTAGGCAAAATATCGTACGATCCACCTCTGATATGATTTTTGATTTGATCAAAATTTGATCATATTTGTACACTATTTTATGAATATCATTAGATTCGTATTTTGTGTACTTTCCGAATTTGATTTTTGTTTCCAAACATTTGTATTTATGTAATTTAGCAACAAACAAAAGCGGGTAAACTAGGTCTAGTCTATTGACCTGGCATGCATGTATTTATTTGATCATTTCTAAGATAAGAAACATTTGCTTAATTAAGCTAAACTGAACATGGCGTAATCTCACATTCATTGCTTCTCATATGGCATCCTTTTACATATATTTTATTTAAACAACTTAAATATTGAACTTATGAACCTAGCTTTAAATGAGTAAAGATCAATAAGTACTGATGGTGGGGCAAAATGTTAAGCATATATGCGTAGCATACCTTGCAATTTGTAATGAGTTGTTGATCTTTAAATGTTTTCTCACACCCAGATATTACAATAACGTTTTCCTCCTTGCAAACTAGACTTGTAATTTCCTTAGTTACATCCTTTTTTCTTTCCATCAAACCTAAATAGTACCCTCTATATACCTTAATCTCCCTTCCAACAATTGTGCCAATTCCCAAATATTCTTGCAAGAACGCCTCGACCATAACCCTAGGAAAATTACTTACTCCCACCCTTATTCGAAACCTCGTGAGCACCTCAAACCCTTGATATCCCACATCTTCCAAGAAGAATTTCGGCAAGACAGTTCTTCCTATTGTTTTTAAGGCACTCCTTTTAACCCCAACAAAACACACGAAAACCATTATGTTTAGCTTCCATTCTTCGCCTACCACGCAAATTAAAGGGTACAAAACGAGCAATAAAAAAGCACGTAAAAGACCTCCGCCTTCAAATGCCACCAACATGAAGAAAGGGAACCATGAGGAAGATTTTAGCAAAGTTTCCTCCATATTAAAGACCAAAGTATGGTTTAGTAGCTCCTCTAACCGCGAGGATAGACAAGTGTACACATGAACTTTTGGTGACTCTATCTTCTGAGAAAAATCAATAGTATTCCTAAGCTTCTTACATATATCCAAGAAACATGACTTGGATCCAAGACAAGTTCCCATTTTGTTGTGGTACCTTATTAGAATCAAATCTAACAAATTTTTTTGGCAACATAAGTTACATAACACGTAGTTTAGGCTTAGATTATACTCATATATAAGGACTATGAAGAGATAGCATACGGCCGTTTTCAAACCTCAAATCTATATCAAATTAAACTTGAAAAGTGAAAATACCTAGCTAGTGTCTCCAAGTATAGACAAATGGACTCTTGATCTGTCTTAACTTGTGATTAAGACAGTGATTAAGGTCTTTAGCTAGCGAATTTGTACCGTGTAGGCAAAGCTCAGCTCGTTGATTTAGGCCACCTGAGATTGCATTTATTAAGGTCTTTGTCCTCAATTATTATTGTTGAATTATTATAAACTACAAGTTACACAAATAAAATAAAGTTAATAAACTCACAATGAATTCTTGGTTATGCACAAAGGGTTCTTCTTGCATGATACTTATACTCTTAAGTCTTAAATGTGACAATAATATAAGAAAACCAAATGCGCTTATTTAAGGATCTAACTAGTTCTAACCAAATCAATTAAAAATTAAGCTAACTAATTGTGGGACATTTGGGGGACCTTTATTGGGGCCAAAGACGGTTACTCTTGGTTTCCTACCCTTGCTAGCTCTAATTAATACGAGTACTTCGTATCTGTTGATATAAAGTATAACATATCTCTGACATTCCGTTAGATGAGCGATAATAAATGGTTGTAATAAGAATAAATTTGTGTACTCCTTCGTTTCTGATTAACTATATATTTCTGATTAACTATATATTGCAATACTCGTAATAGGGTTGCACAAAAGTTTAAGAAAAATTACTATGTACTCGTATAAATTAAAGACCAGGCTAAAGTGAAAATTTTATGATCGATATATAAAGTATAGCTAGTAGGTTACGTACATAAATTGTTAGCGGGTGAGGAAAATAATTTTAAAATGAGTAGCGAATGTAGTGTTGGTATGGGAGAGAGATTTAATAAAAAAAGCAGTGAACTATTACAAAAAATTAAAAGAAAATGTTGAAATTAATAGGAAAAAAAATTATAAATTTGTAAGAATAGTCAAGGTCTATTCTCATAGTAATGTTACCGGTTTAGCTCTTTTACTCTACAGTTCTTCAAATTTTCTTACCATTAATAATTTAATTAATCACATTTAAGGGGCGTTTGGTATGACTAATGGAAATAGAGCGGAAAAGAAACAAATAAGTGGGAGGAAATGAATCATTTAACTCTTACCTTTTCATTTGTTTGGTTTAATTATGGAAAGGAATCACTTAAACCTATCTTTTTTTTATTTTTTTTTGAGGAGAGTAAGGATAATTGTTACCTTAGGTTTTAAAGAGGTAACAAATGGGTGGAAACCATTTCCTTTAACTAATGGTAATTGTTACCCAAACCTTCCAACCAAACACTTGGTAACGGTAATGGTTTATTTGAATCCGTTTCCAATCAAAAAATACTTCAACCAAACATGCTCTTAAAATCATTACCGTTACCGCTAATTAACTATAACCGGCTATCAAACAGGTCGCCAATGGATTCATTGGCCTTCAATTGTACAGTTCAACAGTCACTATTACTTATTGGTAAGCCCCTAGAACCATCCTTGTCAATGAATGTAACGTAGTAGCATACTCCGTAATAAATTGTGAGACTGCTTACTAATAGTAGTACGTGGATGCTTATCTCTTAGCTCGTAAAAAGAAATCGTGAAGTTGGGGTAGTGTGTGAAATATTAGTGCAACGGTCCATTTTTATGACTTAATTATCAGAAAACGAAATGATCGAGTTAACAGTTTCAACTAATTAATTAAGCAACGTGATCATGCATGGGATATGTTTGATTTGGCCAGATTAAATAATTGAAATCGATTCAGTAAACGAACCCATATATACCGGCCCGGTTACGTTGGAATGAGCCAAAACTCACCCCCTTGGCCTAGCCTTCCATCTCTTGGGTTCCTACATATAAACTCGAGACCTCGAATGGCTTGAGATTTCGAAATACTAGTTGAGAAAGTGCAAATTTATCGAAAAAAAAAAAAATACTTGTGATTATTGTGAGTGTTAAACATTTTAAAATTATACTTGTACTTGTACATACATACTTGAAATATGAATTGTTAATGCATCAACTCAACTAGGCCAAAAGCTTAAATTTATGGTTGAAATTCAGGATCAGTTTAATACTCTATCATGAACATCTCCTGTATAACCAAACAACCAATATATAATGTCTTTGAGCTCATTGATATAGTTAAGGATTCTTTCGTCACATACCTCATCCTTAGGTAGTGATCGATAATCATACATGCAATTAAATCAAACAAACCAATCAAAGCAAAAAGGTAGGATTTAAATCGATTTTAATGTATAATTTTGATGGAATCCATATAATCTTCTAAGAGTTGTAACTTCAATTCATTTTTAACGTATCATAATGTTATACTTCGATATTATGAGTGTGATCGATACTGCTGGTTTGATTTGCGTTGGCAGTTGCTTTCTGTTACGGTTGATATAAATATGATGCTGATCGATATGTAAGATGTTAAGATGAGAATAAAATGTTGTATTGTTATGGTTGGTAGTTAACTAGTTACGTATGAAGTAGATGTTACTGTTGATAAGTCGATGTTATGTACTGTTGTCTTAAATACAATGTGAGTTGTGAGCTAGTTACTCCGTACTCCAATTAGGGTTGAGCAAAGCTATCTGATAATCCGAAAATCCAAAATTCCGATCCGCATTCGATTCGAAAATTTAAGATAATCGATCCGAAAATTTCGATTTTGAATATCCGAATATCTGAAAAAAAGTCGGATATCGGATATCGGATCAGGTATCCGATCCGAAATCCGAAAAAAAAACACTTTTTTTACCATTTTTAAATATTTTCATATTATTAGATGCCCTAAAGACAAAAACTCGGATAACCCTAATTTTCCCTCATAATCTCATATCCGCCTCTTTCTCCTCTATTTTCTCCCTCCTCTCTCATCTCAAATCTACCCTCTTCTCGCTTCTCAGATCTCCCCGTAAATCTCTTAGATCGTTCCACCGTTGTCCGTCGTTGAAACTCACAGCCTCACTCCTCCACCAGCCGCGACTTCCCTCACTCCTCTACCTGCGGGCTGCGGCAGCAACGACCTGATTTCCCTCGCTCCTCCACCAGTGACGGCTTGCGCTGCTTCCCTTGCTCTGCTTCACAAGCTAATTGAATTGATTGGTATATCCTTTACATTTTTACTTATCTTCAATTTGTTTTGTGTACTTGATTTCTTTTCAATTGATCGTTCATATAAATTTAGGAGACAATAAATTGAGAGCCATGAATTGTAATTTGGGAGACTAATTTTTGATATTATATAATTTCACAAAAATTATTGTTATAATATTTATGCCCCCATTAATCCATTATAGTAATTTAATTAACAAAAAGCTAGTAATTTAATAATCCGTTACGCTGCTGTGCTTTCCTCTTTGTTATTACCTCTAATTTGAATTAGTTAATTGGGTTTTTAGGTTTGATTTTGGAAACCAATTTCTGGGTTCTTATAGTTGTTCTTGTTTTAATTTTTCTTACAAATAATGGGTTTAGGTTAATAAGTTATGCTTTTTGAACTGTTAATTTAATTAAGTGTTGTTCTACTTTTGCTATGTTGGGAGAAATTTATGTTCTGCTTGTGCTCCATTTTAAATTTCGATTGTTCTGGTTCTAACCGTTATGATTCTGCTTCATTTGAAAATTCTGTTGTTGTTGATTAAAATTTGGAGGAATTTTAAATTATGAAATTTTTGTTGTTCTGCTTGTGCTCCATGTTGGGAGAAATTTCTGTTATGTTTCTGCTCCTGTCCTCCTACTTATGTTGATTTAGTCTGTTATGTTGGGAGAAATATACAATCAGTTTATTTTGTCAACAAATTTACATTCTGAAATATGTGTTTTAGATGGATGATGCTATTGTAGAATCTGCTAACTTAGCAAATCCATCAAGTGAGGAGGAGCCCTTGGCATCAATAGCTGTTGCTGCTGCTGCTGCTGAGGAGCATGCTGGAATTGAAAAACCACCACAACCACCTGTTACAAAAAAAGGCCTTCAACCGCGACTAGTGATGGAGCTGAAATAAAAAGTAAGAAAAAAAGATCTTGACTTTGGGATCATTTTGAGTTAATAGTAAAAGATGGGGATAAAAGGTCAAAATGTGTGTATTGTGAAGTTGATGTTTGTGGTATCTCTAAAAGGGGTACAAGTGCTATGAAAAATCATATAGAAAGGTGTAAGGAATACCTCCCTAATGTTGACAAATCCCAAAGGCTTCTTGCATTTCAAATTGAGCAAAGCCAGCAAACATTAGGAGATGCTAGTGTAGGTGATAATGCAAGTGGGGAAAAAAAAGGGTAAATTAGAATTTTGGAAGTTTAGGCAGGAGGAGGGTCGGAAAGCTTTTGCTAAAATGATAATCATGGATGAATTGCCCTTTAGGTTTGCTGATCGTGAGGGTTTTCGCTACTTTATGTCTGTTATTCAGCCTAATTTCATTATCCCCTCTCGTTTTACAGTAGCTAGAGATTGCTATCGTGTGTTTTTAGATGAAAAAACAAATCTGAAAAGTTATTTTAGCAAGTGATCTTCTCATATTTCTCTCACTACTGACACATGGACCTCTTGCCAAAATCTGCCATACATGTGTTTAACAGCCCATTTTATTATCACAATTGGAACTTACACAAAAAAATTTAAATTTTTGTCCAATTAGTGGCCATTCAGGTGAGGCTATTGGTAAAGCGGTAGAAAAATGTTTGCTTGAGTGGGGTATCACTAAGGTAATGACCATTACCGTGGACAATGCAAGCTCAAATGATGTAGGGGTCCAATATTTGAGGAAAAGGTTACTAAGATGGAAAGATGGGACTGTTTCAGAGGGTAAATTTGTGTATATGCGGTGTGCAACTCACATTCTTAATTTGACAGTAAGAGAAGGTTTGAAATAATGTGATGAATCAATAAAAAGAATTCGTAATGTTGTTCGATTTGTTAGATCTTCCCCTACCAGATTACAAAAATTCAGAAATTATATAAATCAAGAACAAATTGAATCTAAACGTCAGCTTTGCTTGGATGTTGAAACTAGGTGGAACTCCACTTATTTGATGTTGGAGTATGCTTTGATTTTTCGTAAGGCTTTTGATTTGCTTGAAAATTCTGATGGTGGTAATTTTTTTTCTGAGTTAACAAAGATGTCGGGTGTTCTTACTGATTTGGATTAGGATCGTGTTGCTTCTTTTATTCCCTATTCTTAAGATTTTTTATGATGTTACTTTGAGACTCTCAGGATCTTTGTATGCTACTACTAATGTGTATTTGTTAGAACTTGTGACAATTGGCAAGATGATTAAAAAAAAAGTGTGATAGTGTTGATATTAGGGAAAGGTCAATGACCAATGGAATGAAGAAAAAGCATGACAAGTATTGGGAAAATGTGGATAACATTAACTTGATGTTGTATGTTGCTGTTGTGCTTGACCCTAGACGTAAAATGCATTATGTTAAGTGGGCTATTAATGATCAATAATGATTCTGACAAGGCCACACAGTTGTATGATATAATGATGGGAACTTTGACTTCTTTGCATGAACATTATGCTGCTTTACAATCTCAAAATGTGTCAAGTGTTTCTGAAAATATTGATTTGACTTCAAAAGACTTTGAAAACTATAATGATTGGAATGATGTTGCTGATTATGAGTTTGAGAGGAATATTGGTGGACAAATAGTTTTTGACAAAAAAAGTGATTTGGACAAGTATTTGATGGATGATAGAGAGCCTAATATTATCGGTAAGAGTTTTGATGCTTTGGGATGGTGGAAAAAAGCGGTGAAGAGATATCCTATAGTTGGTCTTATGGCTAGGGATGTATTAGCCATTCCGGTCTCCACGGTTGCATCCGAATCTGCATTTAGCACCGGTGGGAGAGTACTTAATCCATTTCGTAGTTCACTTTCTTCACATATGGTTGAAGCTTTGATATGTGCACAAGATTGGATGCGCACTACACGTGGTCCACTTGTGATTGAAGAAAGTATCGATGACATTCAACAAATTGAAAAGGGTAGTACTTTTTCTGTTTTTTTTTTTTTATGAATATTTTTAATGTTTGGGATATTCTATTTGGTGGTCTCGTGGTTTCAAAAATTCCACATGGAAGACAAACTTTTTTTTTAGTCTCTGTAGTGACCTCGTGGTTTTGCATATTTGATTATAGTGACCTTTTTTAGGTTTATGGCTAACCTTTTTAGTTAAAATGGTTAACCTTTGATTTTTTTTATTAAAAAATTATTTAAATTATATTTTAAAATAATAAAATTAAAAAAAAAAAAAAAAAACCCCTAATCCCTAACCTAGCCACCAGCCCAACCATCGGCGGCCATCACTCCACCGCCGGAGACCGCCACTGCCGCCGAAACCCCTTCCTTCACCGGCGAAATCACCGGTCGTCACCCTCACCGACATCACCCCCCGGCAAATCCCCTTCCCTCTCCATGAAAAATCACTATTCTTGCCACCTTCCCTCCTGTCCCCACTTCCTTTTTCGGCCGCCTCCACCTCCCCTCCAACCACACCACCACCAACAACAAACTCGCGCAACCAGGAAACTCAGGAAACCCCCACCAACTTTCCGATCCATTTTCGTTTCTAGCCAACCTCTTCCCGTCACGCCGCCCCTCCAGTCCTTTTTCAATTTCCAACCAACTCACCTAAAAACTTGTTCGATTTTCGGCCTACCCCCAGAAAAATCATTTTTGATTTTCGAATGGTGAGGCTGAACTGATGGGGCGGCGATGACTATTGGTTGGGGTGATTTTTTGGGGAGATTGAAGGGGATGGGGATTTGCAGGGGGCTGATGTCGGTGGGGGTGACGGCCGTTGATTTCGCCGGTGAAGGAAGGGATTCCGGCGGCAGTGGGGGTCTCCGGCGATGGAGTGACAGCCGCCGGTGGTGGGGCTGGTGGCTGGGTTAGGGATTAGGGGTATTTTTTTTTTTTAATTTTATTATTTTAAAATATAATTTAAATAATTTTTTAATAAAAAAAATCAAAGGTTGTAACACCCCCAAATCTCCCTCTACGGAATATGTAGAAAATACGTATAAATACCGTAGAGATAGACTGGGGCGTATTACCGCCGCGTATGACGCAAGGCTTATACAAAAAAATACTTTTGCAGCGGAAAACCTTTATTCTTATTAATAAAACTTTAAATAAAACTTGTTCATAATTTGTGACACAAAAACGACTCCAACTTTTCCTAGGCTAGGTGAAATTCCCATGGACTCCCGTATGCATCAATCAACTTCCACCTGAAACATTCACCTGCTTACCATAAATGGTAAACAGGGCAATGCCAAAACAAAAGCACGTATTAGCAAATTATGCTAAGTAGATTATGTGTAAGATAAGTAAAACATAATTTAAATCATTTAGATTTAATTCATAAGAATTCCAATGCCGTACTCAAGTAAGAGTTTTTCCAATTCAATTCTTTCAAGACAAAATTTAAAAACTCAATCGATTACGTTCCAAAACCAATTCCTCACTTAGTGTGCACACCCCCCAAGTGGTTTACTTTATGAACAAAGGCCAATCTTGAGGAAAGGCTAGGTCATGCAAAGTCCATAGCCTTCTCTAATCCATTCCCTAAGAGGGATTCATAACCATATCGATTGATTGCTTAAAAGCACCTTTTAAAAAAAAATCCGTTATACTTGGACATCAATAAACTTGTAAATCATTTTTAATCCAATCCTTTTAATAATTTTAATCACAATTCAAAGCCTCTTTGATTAACCAAAATCATTAATTTCAAGCTATCATAAAACACAATTTCATATAGTAAAACATAATTTCATACGGCACATAATTTCATAAGAACTATATTAAAACATAATTTCATAGTCAACTTTCGAAGGTATCAAACCACATAACGTACCTTAATTCCGAATATCAATCAACACTTCGCACTTTCAAAGTTCAATCACGAATACACCTTGCAATCAACATAACCATACGGTTATCACAACATCTTTAGACATAAACCCAAATCTAATGTACATGGATTATAAAACTCTTTTAAAAATAATACTTTAATATTAAATTATAACTGTTAAATAGGTAATTATATTTTAGAAAACTAACCATGAAGAAAATAAAGGAATAGGATTAAAGGAAATTGAATTTGCGTTGAAAAGAATAGGCAGAACTTGCAGAGATCATAACTCCTTTGATATAACTCCGAATTGGGTGATTCTTGAGCCTAACCTCAAGGATTTTTTGAGAGAAATAATTTTCTGAGAAATAGAAAAATCCAAAAAATGACCAGAAGTTCCCGAAAATTGGCTCCAAAGATATACGGGCAGATTTTCTTTTAGAAAAGAGGAAAAGAAAAATAGGAAAAGTTTGAGGGAAAAGAAGAGTAAAAGAAAAGAAGGGAATTGAGTTTTTGGTGTGAAGAATATGAGAGTTATGAGGGGGTATTTATAGGTGTTTAGGTGATGAGTTTATAGAAATTTAGGGTTGTATAATTTATGGAAATTTTAAAGAATAGAAATTAGGGTTTCAAATGTATGGAAGGATATTAGATTTTATTTGGTCATGAAATATTATTTAGTAGGATTTGAGCTTGGAGTGCAAGTATAGAATAAGATCAAGAGATTTTAGATTTAAGAATAGAAATAAGGAATTTTAAAGGATTTTTATTTTTAATAAATTAAATTAAAACCATTTAGAAAATTCATGAGTGGCCGAAAATATTGACATATAATAATTAATTAAATCAGATTTTTATTGTATAAAATCCGAAAATTAATATATTTCATGAAAATAATTAATTTAGAAAAATATTAAAACAATTTAGATTTTTATTCTATGAAAATCGAAAATACATTTTAATTAATCTACCGAATTAATATAATTTCGGTTTAGCTATTTAAATTTTGAGAAATCAAAAATACTATTTATAACATAAGTATAAAATAGTTTCATTTATTGGATTATCCAATTTAATTAGTTTTGTAAAATAATGATTTAGGCGCCAAAATTTAAATATCATTTTGGCTCCAAAACTAAAATACTCTTTAGAAAATAATTAATACGTCAAAATACGAGACTAAAATACCTTTCAAAAATACGGGGTATTACAAAGGTTAACCATTTTAACTAAAAAGGTTAGTCATAAACCTAAAAAAGGTCACTATAATCAAATATGCAAAACCACGAGGTCACTACAGAGACTAAAAAAAAAGTTTGTCTTCCATGTGGAATTTTTGAAACCATGAGACCACCAAATAGAATATCCCTTAATGTTTTTGCTGATTATGTCTTTCTTTTATTAATTAAGTGTGAACCCGATTCCTTCAGTTTAGTTGTTTAATCGACATTCTTCTTAAGTTGATCTGCACTTTTTTTTTTTTTTTTTTATCTGGTATAAACTTCAGAAATTATTTTCTAAGATATGACTTGTGGGATTGAATTATTGTTTTGTTCTAATCTTGTGGGATTAAATTATTGTTCTAATATTGTTGGTTTGATTGTTCTGATTAATGGGATGTATGTTCTGGCTAAGTGTTTCTTTTGCAATTGCTGGTTTTTTGTTATTCCGAGCTTAAATTGATTTGGTTCTTTTTCTGTTCTTAAGTTTACTCTATGCTCTGTTGATGTATGATGAATTTCTTCTTTAGTGTATTTTTATAACTTGGTTGACAGTGCATACAAAATTTAGTTTTGTGGTAATTAATTTAAGCTCTTAAGTGTGATTAAGTAGTATGACTTAGATTGGCATGTGATATTTGTTTTACTAATGTATTTTCATCATGTTATTTGTAGAATTGTCGTCTCTTGTAGATCCGCCTTCGGTTTCCGTCGTTGATGATTATTTTTAGCATTAGAAGGTAATACTTTTTTAGTTTGAATATTTTAGAAGCTATAGTTTAATTTCTGCATTTTTTTGTTTTGTTTTTTTTTTTTCCTTATGATTATCTAATATATTGTTATTTTATATTTTGTAGGGTTGTTGACTTGCCGTACACTCGTACTTTGTTGATCCGTTATTGGTTTCCGGCGTTGATGACTTATTTAGTGTTAGATAAAATGTTTATGCATTGTTAACATTTGGACATTAATGTTTTTGGACTTCAAATTTTCTTATGTAATTGGTACTTTTGTTGCAATTAGCTAATTAGTTTGCATTTTGAAGGTTGTGTATAATTTTATTATGTAATTTCTGAAAATTAGTTGTTGGACAATAATTTCAAGTCTATTTTATCCCTCTTTGTTCAGGTTATGAATTAATTGTCTACATAGTAAAAAAAGGTCCACAAGACAATAATGTGTGAAAAAATGGGTGAAAAAATCAATTTTGCCATTAAAAAAACCCCGCAATTAAAGAAGTTGGATATAGGATATCCTACTTATCCGATCCAAAAATTTCAGATATCCGGATTTACGGATATCCAACATTATCGAATCGGATACGGATATCTAATATCCGAATTTTCGGATATGGATATCCAATCCATGCTCAGGCCTAACTCCAATATATTGGGCTTCTAATATCTGAACAGTCAATATTCAAAATATGAAAATATGCTTTAACAAAACCAACCCCCCCAAAAAAAAAAAAAAAAAAGGTACATATTTGGAAAATCAAAAGTACAATCTGTAACACAAAATTGGACCGTAAAGGCTCTGAATCTCGAGCATGGAATGCAAAAAACATGACCTGATTATGGATAAATAAACAATGTACATCCACCGGCCCTTGACCCTACTATGTACAAATTACATCATCAATTCATCATACTCCGTACATTCTTTTTGACAAAGGCAAGAGCCGCTAACCACATCATACTTCTAGTAGTTAAAAACATAAAGGTTCCAATATCAATATCGTCTATTTCTAATGGCTAGTACAGGTGTAAGGACATAAGCCAAACTGGCCAATTGAAACAAAATAATATTTTATTAAAGTAATCGGTTAAGAAAATACTAGTAAAAGGGGCTGGGAGAAAAAGAAATAAGCAATATATTATGAATACAATGTGTACGTAGTATGTTAATCGGTCCAATTAACGACACAAACAACTGAACAAGGCCTCTAATTTACTCATATTTTCTTATAGTATTGATAATTGATATCACATGTAAGTAATCGTTGACATAATGATGATGTATAGATCGAGTAGCGGTTGATTGAAGGACATATAGGTTTCTACATAGTTTGAAGATTTGAACTTAATTTGAGGCTAAAGAGCCATTTTTTATTAAATAATCTCTCATGTAATGTAATTTGACTAACCAAAAAATAGAACTATGTAGTACTTAGGTTCTAAAGTCAATGACAGTAGCTGAGTAGCAAATTTATCGTCAAAGTACTAGAAGTGGCGCAAGTTCCAGTAGCTAGCATTGTAGCAGCAATGAAAAGGCAGTAGTTATGTTTTGCATCGGGTTTGACTTGCCCCTTTGTACTTAAATTGGTGGTGGTGTTCAAAAGCTAGTCTGGTATTAGAGGTGTTTGATACTTGGATTGTGTTTTTAAATCTGATAAGGGATGTGTGTTGCATGCTTTTTTAATGAATTCATCCCTTTCTATTCAAAAAATAAAAAATAAAAGGCTAGTCCGGTGTTCGGACCAACAAGAATCAATCTGGTCTTAGAAACCATTTTGGACTGGTGTTTTTTAAACTATGAATAATATATATTTACCAAAATGACATCAACAAAATAATAAAACGATAAGAAAACCAAAAAAGGTTAATCATGCGAGAAGGATTTCTAATTAATTGGAGAAATAAACCCGGAAAACCCATTTGATCGAATTTCACTGACCAAAAACTTGAAATGTCGCAGTGTCACAGAGGTATGCCAACAAAAAGAGAAACACCATAGAAATAATCACAAAGGAAATCATAGTTGACAAGATGTTGATAACCAACTCATTGAACGACAACCATTGAATGGAAACATACGGCGGGAGACAACGAGGGAGATGAGCAATTTTCTGAGATTCTAAAATAAGTTTGTTCATTTTCATTTATGCATTTTTATTGTATGTGCTTTTGCTCATTTTAATTTAGTTGGCTCATTTTAATTTCAGTTTGCTCATTTGTGAAGGATACGAGCACAACAACATATATTAAATTAACCTTGTGAATTATCTACTTCAAAAATAGGCAAATAATGAAGTGCATAATATAAACTAGTATACATTATGCTCTTTGGTCCAACAATTGTTTACATTTTCAGATATAGTAAGTAAGTTTAAGGTTTCATATTAGTTTGAATGTTTTAGAATTGTTGCTCATTTGATAAATGAACAAAGAATAGTTACACATTTGATAAATGAGCAAACAAAACAAAGAAATATTGTTTGCTCATTTAATAAATGAACAAAGAATTATTGCTCATTTATCAAAGGAGCAAATATTATTTGCTCATTTATCAAATGAATAAAAATTAGTTGCTCATTTGATAAATGAACAAATAAATGTTGCTCATTTGATAAATGAGAAAAAACCAAAAAAAAAAATTAACAAAAAAAAAAAATTAATATTTTTTTGCTCATTTGATAAATGAACAAAAAATTATTGCTTAAAATGAGCCAAACAAAAAAAATGTAAATTACATTTTTGCCATTACTGTGTGAGCAATCTCGCTCAACAGTTGAATCAAGAGGTATCCAATGGTTGAGATTTGTTCTCATATATAATTCGGTTTCCACATACAGACCTATTCTCACTGGATCCCTCCCCTATATATATATATATATATATATATATATATATATCATGTGAGAACACATCCCTTATGTGAGAACTCTAATCTATATGAGAACAAATCTAGACCATTCATCCTCTTTAATAATGGCATTTCCATAATTTTTGTAGCTTACATTTTCTTTTTTCTTTTTCCCGCATCACACAGTAATCATACTCTCTCTAAAATTTGTGCAGCTATTTCTCATTTTCTCTCTCTTACCAACGTATATTTGGGCGAAATACATCATAAAATTTTGGTAAGTTCATCAATTCACAATCAAATTCTTCTATGTAAATCGATTTTTTCAATGTCTAATGTTTAATGTATACAATTTTTTCCATTTTTTATACAGCGTAATTTGTTTCAATTTGTGTTCGATTTTATCGGTTTAATCTATTCGATTTGTGTTCGATTTTTTTGGCTTAATTTTTTCAATTGTGTTCGATCTTTTGTGTGTATGATTGTTTTGATCCTCTTTTTTGATACTTGTAAATCGTTTCTATTAAAAATATTTATTGATTGCTGGATTGTTCTTTGTTTTGCAATAATTTCAATTGTTTTTTTGAATATTTAGAACACTTTTATAGTTGAATTATGTGTTTGACGTGTTTTTGTAAAGTATTACTACGTATATGATTTATACAAAAGGTAAGTATCAATTAACTGATTTTTGTTTTTTATAGGGATTTTGTAATTTTTTTTTGCTCATTTTGTAGTTATTTTAAGGCGGTTGGTGTGGCCGGAGTTGAGACAGTGAATAGTATTTTTCTAGGGCTATTAGGAAGGTGCCAAGTCAGTGCTGGTGCAGCAGTTCGTGTGATTTATAAGGTGATAGGGGAAGGTGGTGGAAGTGGGGAAGGGGTACGGATTAGAGAGATAATGGCGGAAGAGTTGGTGAGTGATGAAAGGGTGGTGACACTTTTTGCTGGGGAGAAAGCTGCAAAGGAAAGAACAACCTTACATGCTGTCCTGTGGAATTGGTGAGGCTTTGATTAATACTACTGTATAAACTAGTTTATGCTCTATAGTTGTTTGTTAAGTCTGTTATTGGATACTAAATAACATAAAATCTTTTGATAAAGTATTTGAAATACTAAACTAATTTAAGAAATTTTGCCTATGATAGTTATCTTCAAGGCATAATCATGTCATGGTTGTTTGTTTGCACTTTGTAGTGTATTGTCTTGCGTTTTCTGGATTCTTTTGTTCCCTTTTGAACTAGCTCTGAGTGTGATGTGATGCTCCCCTTTGATCTCTTCATGTCTACTTTTTCATGGGATCTGTCTTTTGTCTTGAACTTGTTATAATGATTGATTAGCATGATTAGATGTGTTCTAGAGGAAACTGTTTCCTCTAGGTGGTTACTTTTAGCCTATGAAATTATAACTCCAGCGTGCAGTGGCTGTGATCTCATCTGTTTTAAAGACCCTAAGGTTGTTATGCTGGGGACTTACTCTTTGCTACAATATATTTTCAGCTCTGAAAGTAGATGTACTTGAAGTTGCAAGTCCTAATGGTGTTGTACTTTAATAAAGGAAAGTTTTACTTTGAGAGATTTAAGAACTATTACTAAACTATAAATGTAGTCTTATAAGTTGCAGGGATTGGTGGAGGAAGTTATTGAAGTGATTCATATAACACTGTCTTTTAAAACATTATTGGTGGGGTCATGACATCACTTATGAGGATCTTCTTGCTGAAGAATTTTGAGATTTGCAAGGTATGTATGTATAGCAGAGAAATACTAGTCTCAAATCAAAAAGCCCCAAATAAGAGTGTGAGTGCACCTGTTAAGGAGTTCAGTAATGAAAATCCTTTGCAAAGTATTGTGGTAGTGGCTGAGAAGACTACAAAACCTGGTTCAATGGAAGGGAAAACACCATCGAGGGTGGTGAATGTGAGTATTTTTTAGCGGGATCAGGAGACTAAATCTTTGTCCACAACTCAAAAAATAGGCACGATTCAGGGGATTGATGGTGACAAAAGTGTTCGTACTTAGAAGAGAATTGCTAGAAAGGGTGTAGGTGGGAGTGATCCTAGCTTGGTGAAAGACGAGTTGGGTAAACGCTCTCGGGAATCTGAGTTTGTTGATGATGGGGTGGGCACATCCCAAAGAAAGTTGTTGTTCTTGTCACTAATTATTTGCTCATTTGCCAAATGAGCAATTAATTTTTTTGCTCATTTGTCAAATGAGCAATTAATTTTTTGCTCATTTGTCAAATGTGCAATTTTTTTTTGCTCATTTGTCAAATGAGCAATTATTTTTTGCTCACTTATCAAATGAGCAAAAAAATACAATGCTCCTTTGTCAAATGAGAAAATAATTAATTGCTCATTTGACTGTTTATGGCTCATTTGTCAAATGAGCAATTAATTATTTGCTCATTTGACAAATGAGCAATTAATTATTTGCTCATTTGTCAAATGAGCAATTAATTTTTTGCTCATTTGTCAAATGAACAATTAATTTTTTACTCATTTGTCAAATGAGCAATTAATTTTTTTGTTCATTTGTCAAATGAGCAACTATTTTTTGCTCATTTGTCAAATGAGCAAAAAAATGCAATGCTCCTTTGTCAATTGAGCAAACTATTTAATGCTCATTTTTCAAATGAGCAAATGAATCTTGCTCATTTTGTCAAATTAATGCTCATTTGTGAGTGTGTTTGAATGTTTTAAATACGTTAACCTATTAGCTCAAGGGTAGAGCATCGTGCAAATGCACAAAAGATGTGGATTCGAATCCTACGTAGGTTCATTTATGTAATGTGGAGACACAAGTTTGTATGAGAGTTTAATTGTAACAAAGTTTATATAGTTATAAATCATTTCAAACCATTTTTTTGCTCATATAATTAGTACGAATTTGAGTTTTTTTTAATTAATTTTGTTTATAAAGATAACCTATGTAGGAATTGAACCTACATCCCCTATACATTTGCACAGTGCTCTACCAATTGAGCTAATAGGTTTTATCATATGTTTTAAATCATTTTCTATGTTCTAAATTTTATTCTTATACTGTGAGCTTTCTTTATGTTCTAAATTTTATTCTTATACTTTGAGCTTTC